CAGTGCCACAGGTGTTGTAAAAGAGGAGTATTTGGCTGGGCACTGTGGCTCATGCCTGTAATCCCAGCACTTTGGGAGGCCAAGGTGGGTGGATCACCTGAGGTCAGGAGTTTGAGACCAGCTTTACCAATATGGTGAAACCCTATCTCTACTAAAAATACAAAAATTAGCCTGGTGTGGTGGCAGATGCCTGTAATCCCAGCTACTCAGGAGGCTGAGGGGGTAAGAGTCGCTTAAACCTGAGATGCAGAGGTTGCAGTGGGCCGAGATTGTGCCACTCCACTCCAGCTTGAGTGAGAGGGAGAGACTGTCTCAAAAACAAAAAAAGAGAAGTATTTAAAAATTCCTCCAAGATGCATTGATAGAGGCCTTTTCTAATATATAGAACATTTTGTTCAACTTTCCAGTGAAAAATGCCAGGAGTAAGTATATTGATTCATTTAGAACATAAATTACAGAAGTGTTTGAATTTAATTTTGTGGAACACCACACAGGAGGGCCATAAAACACAGATTGTGTGTTCGTAGCACTTCCAGCAGCTGGCAGTGAGGAAGACCAATATTACCCCTGAAGATGCAGAAAATACTAAATAACAGCCATTTTGACTCAGTAGCACCTAAATATATAAATATAAGTAACAAATTAACAGATTGCTCTCTGTGATCTTTGCTGGTTTCTAAAAAAATAACAAAAGCTGAGGTAATACTCCTTACTTCCATTCCTGTAGAGGTGCTCACACACCAGGGTGGGCTTCTGGGCCCCTTACCTCTAGTGCTAGAGACCAGAATGTAGGTAATTACAGTACCATGGATTCACAATGACTGTTGATATAAACTCCTCTTGTTGTAAGGTAGTTTGAGTTACAAAATCCTTTACTTACTGAATTAATCAAAGAAAGGTTTTAAGGAGATAAATATCAACGGCCTCAAAATAAACGTAACTGCAAAATATTAATCTTAATATGATGTGAAATTTAATTATTTTCCTTAATAAAACAAGCCACTCAGAGTTCAATGTCACATTTAAGTAAAGAATTTCCAAATTCTGACTGGGAGCAGCCACTCACACCTGTAATCCCAACACTTTGGGAGGCCGAGGTGTGCAGATCGCTTGAAGTCAGGAGTTCGAGACCAGCCTGGCCAATATAGTGAAACCCTGTCTCTACCAAAAATCCAAAAATTAGCCGGGCGTGGTGGTGCGTGCCTGTAGTCCCAGCTACTCAGGAGGCTGAGGCATGAGAATTGCTTGAATCTGGGAGGTGGAGGTTACAGTGAGCCGAGATCGTGCCACTGCACTCCAGCCTGGGCGACAAGAGTGAGACACTGTCTCAAAACAACAAAAAATTAAAAAATAAAAACTGAAAAAAAATTGCCAAACCCTGCTAATAAACAATGTTTAAGAACCCTTAGTTTAAGGCCGAGTACAGTGGCTCCAGCCTGTAATCCCAGCACTCTGGGAGGCTGAGGAGGGGGGATCATGAGGTCAAGAGATTGAGACCATGATGGCCAACATGGTGAAACCCCGTCTCTAATAAAAATACAAAAAATTAGCTGGGCATGGTGGCATACGTCTGTAGTCCCAGCTACTTGGGAGGCTGAGGTAGGCGAATGGCTTGAACCCAGGAGGGGGAAGTTGCAGTGAGCCGAGATTACGCCACTGCATTCCAGTCTGGTGACAGAGCTAGAATCCATCTCAAAAAAAAAAAAAAAAAAGAACCCTTTATAGGCCAGGCAGAGTGGCTCATGCCTATAATCCCAGCTGAGGAACGAAGATTGCTTGAGTCCAAGAGTTCAAGACCAGCCTGGGTAACAATGGTGAAAAATCATCTCTACAAAAATCTTTATAAAGACAATTTTGGGTAACAATCTGAGTAACAATGGTGAAAAATCTGTCTCTACAAAAAAATACAAAAAACTAGCCAGGTGTGGTAGCACATGCCTGTAGTCCCAGCTACATGGGAGGCTAAAGTGGGAGGATGTATATAGCCCAGGAGGTTGAGGCAGCAGTGAGCTGTGACAGCATCTCTGCACTATAGCCTGGCTTTAAATTAAAAAAAAAAAAAAAGAACCCCTTATAAACAAGCCTTCCTACTGCAGAACAAGACACTGAAAATGCAAATCAAATATAATTTATTTGTTTCCCTTGCACTAAAAACCTTTGCTTCTACCAATCCCACCTACATATATGTCTGACACTTACTTCTCACTAACCACTGCAAGCATGGGCAATGTTGTCCCTATGGGTCACGACTTAGTAAAGTTCTAGAATAATATCTGGAGATTTGATGGATAGAAAAATACACAAGTGTATTAAACATCCAAGGTATTTTGTTAAGTATACAATAATGACGGAATAGCAAACAATCACAGGGAGAACCACCTTCAAATCTCTAGATAGGCTTTATACAAATTTCCTCAAATCTCTAACAAACACAGGAGTGGATGAGCAGACAATTTATCAATTTGATGGAATATTGCTGCAACCATTAAGGCTAACCATTATAAAGTTATATATCACAGAAGATTTTATAATACAGCATAAATTTTAAACATACATTTATATCTAGCTATAAGACATCATATATATATGGGCAAAGACTTAAAGAATACAATAAGAAATGAACACTTAGTGTAGTTGTAGGGACTTCTCCAACCCTCCATATGTTTACAAAGTAAATGCAAATCAGAAGGTCTGGTTGGGAGCGGTGGCTCAGACCTATAATCCCAGCACTTTGGGAGGCCGAGGTGGGTGGATCACTTAAGGTCAGGAATTTGGGACCAGCCTCACCAACATGGCGAAAACCCGTCTCTACTAAAAATACAAAAATTAGCCAGGCAACGTGGCGGGCACCTGTAATCCCAGCTACTTGGGAGGTTGAGGCAAGAGAATTGCTTGAACCCGCAAGGCGGAAATTGCAGTGAGCTGAGATTGTGCCGCTGCACTCCAGCCTGGGTGACAGATGAGACTCCATCTCATAAAAAAATAAATAAGTAAGTATCAGAAGGTCGAAAATGCAAGGACTCTTCTCTCTAAAGAACTGTAAAACTATCATCAGCACCTGAGTAATCATTTCATATTTATGATCTACACTAAACACACCAAAACTTGCTATCTATTACCCGTTTCAGGCATGCTTCTGGGCAAGGTCACCAGATAAAGGGGAAACAAGGTCCTGTCTGAGTATTCTGATTAAGAAGAGAGAAAAAAATGACTACTCCATAGCAAGGTGACAGAGGTATTGTAACCAATGGCATGTTTTACTGCCATCTCAAGGTATCAAATCATACATTACTTCTTACCCCAATTAACCACCATATCCAATTTAAGCCCAGAAAGTTACAACACAAATGTTATGTCCTGATAAGTGACAAAGATAACGATTATATCAATTTGATCTACTTTTCATTGCATCAGATATTACATTGCTGTAACAGTGAAAGACATTTAGATTCAAGGATATCTGAGATATCCAATTTCCAGACACAAGGATAAGGCTTTCATTATTTACTTTATGTCTGCCTTGCAAAAGCCATATAGGTCAAAAGCTCAGTAAGATAATCCTGAAATTACTGGTACTACCTTGAAATGCAGAATTAGTTTGGATTCTATTAACATGATGTAAGAATTGCCCTTAGCACCTAGGTTTGTTGCAGAAAGTAATAAATTAATCCTAAAACTCAGAGTGAAATGCAAAGAATCCAAAAATAGCCAAAACAAATTTGAAAAAAAAACCGAAGTTATAGGACACACACTTCCCACTTCCTGATTTTAAAACTTACCACAAAGCTATGGAACCAAGACTGTGTGGTACTGGCACAAGGATAGACACATAGATCAGTGGAGTAGAACTGAGAGGCCAGAAACAATCCTTACGTCAACTGATTTTGAAAAGGTGCCAACACAATATAACAGGGGATAGAAGAGTCTTTTCAACAAATGGTGCTGGCACAACTTGTTATCCACATGCAAAATAATGAAGTTGAACTCCTACCTTACACCACATATGAAAATTAACTCAAAATGGATATTCACATGGAAAATAATAAAATTGGACCCCTAATTTACATCACATACAAAAATTAAATGGGCAATGGTCATAGTGTAAGAGCTAAAGCTATAAAATTCTTAGAAGAAACATAAATCTTCATGATCTTAGATTAGCTTCTTAAATATGATCCTGAAAACAGAAGAAAAAAATGATAAACTAGACTTCATCAAAATTAAAAATTTTTCAGCTTCAAAGTGTACCATCAAGAAAATGAAAAAGAAAGGAAAAAAAAAAAACAAAAAATGGGAGAAAATATTTGAAATTCATATATCTGGTATGGAACCTGCATCTAAAATATATAAAGAATGCCTAAAATTCAATAATAAAGACAAAAAATTTGAATAGATATTTCTCCAAAGAAAATATACAAATGGCCAACAGACAAATGAAAAGACTCCCTCTGCTAATGGTACTGTGAAAGTAATATTCCTATCCACTACTGGCAGCATAGTAAATTGCTACAATTAATCTGTGGAAAAAGGATTTTATGGCAAAAGTTTTTAAAAGATTTTAAAACAAATGTTTTGTGCCCTTTGACTTAGTCATGTAATTTCTGGAAATCACCTAAAGAAACAATATCAAATATGGGAAACTATATATACATATACAATGATGTTGTCACAATGTAATTGGGGGTGAAACTGGATGCAACCTATATGTTTGAGAATATGGGAACCATTATATTCTCAAAATCTAAGCATGGACTATTATACATTCCTTGATAATGCTGATAATGGTATGAAAATATAACAGAAAATGTGTATTCTAAGAGACTAAAACAAAATTCAATATTAACTCCTAATTATATTTATCTAAGACATATATATAACAGCAAATTTATAAAACTAAAAGATGATAATTATCTTAGTGTGGCTGAATTATAGGTATTCTTCTCAAACCTTCTTATAGAGTAGTCAATAATATTTTCATAAATAAATAAGGATACTTTTACCTTATCCCAGAAATCGATCAAAGCTGTAAAGTCCCATTTCTTAGAATATGCCACATTGTATTTCAGAATAGCATCCTGTGGAAAATGCAGAAACAAAACGTCATGTTATGGACAAGTGAATGACCCATGAAGAGCCTGTCTCTTATGAACTACCTCCAGTACATTTCATAATGTCAGACAAGCTTCCTACAACCTCCCCCCGCTACTGATATGGACATCAGTAGCTACAGACAAACAGAATGAATACTAATTTATTAGTCACTTAAAAAAATGAGATTAGAAAGGTCAAGTAATAGGTGAAAAAACACAATTACACCCTAAAGCATGTGTTCTAAATAGGGTGATACACTCCAAATAGACAAAAACTGTATCATGAGGGATAAAAAATGAACTTGGATATCACAATTGTTGGTGGTCCTTGAAAGCATCTCATTATATATACACAGAGATACATAGTGTATTTGTAGTATGAAAGTTTCATGGGTCAGTTAATAGGGTTGAGGTATAAATTTTTTTTGTAAAAAACAAAAAATAAAAATTTCATGGGGACGAGATTAGGAAAAAATATTTAAAAATAGTCTTTTTTCCTTTACTCTAAGGTATTTTTATACAATATATATAAATAATTATCTTCCTCTAGCAGTTCACATAAATTACACATTTATGTAGAATGAAAAGTCAAAATATGCCATCTACTGGTGTACTTTTTAACTGTTTGAATAGGCAATACTATACATCTGGTTTCCGAGTCAGGTATGCATAAGACAATCCATTAGATGTGCAGAAAGAACAATTTATTTATAATTACCTTTTATCTCATCCTTTTAAATATCTACTTTGGTCTTATTTTATACTGTACATATTACATTAATAAAGTAAAAGATATGCAGAATTTATAAACAACTATCTTGGTAACACACACTCAAAATTTTTTTTACTGAGGTACACAAGTCTGAAAACCATTCTGTTAGATTATTACTATTAATCTTTCAAATTTCGTTATCATTGAATAAGTTTTAAAAAAACTAATACTCTGTCAAAGCTTCCTGAATAGTACTTCATGCCATACTAAGCATCTAGGTTAAAAGATGAGCCAACAAAATGTGTCTTATTTACTTGGAATCAAGGGACATCCAAGCTCCTTAAGAAAAGAAAAAGAAAAATCATCCATAAAATAAGATAGCAAGAAAGAGTCTTTGTTTTTCGCTCACAAGCCATAACATAACATTTTCTATTAAGAATTAAGAGATTTTAGGCTGGGTGCAGTGGCTCATGCCTGTAATCCCAGCACTTCGGGAGGCCGAGGCAGGTGGATCACGAGGTCAGGAGATGGAGACCATCCTGTCCAACATGGTGAAACCCTGCCTCTACCAAAAATACAAAAACTAGCTGGGCATGGTGGTGTATGCTTGTAATTCCAGCTACTAGGGAGGCTGAGGCAGGAGCATCACTTGAATCAGGGAGTCAGATGTTGCAGTGAGCCGAGGTCACGCCACTGCACTCCAGCCTGGGCAACAGAGTGAGACTCAGTCTCCAAAAAAAAAAAAAAAAAAGAATTAAGAGATTTTGGCCTGCACGGTGGCTCATAGCACACTTTGGGAGGCTCATAGCACACTTTGGGAGGGCGAGGTAGGTGGATCGTTTGAGTCCAGGAGTTCGAGACTAGCGTGGGCAACATGACAAGACCCCTAGAAAAAAATACAAAAATTAACCAGGCATGGTGGTGCATGCCTGTAGTCCCAGCTACTTGGGGGGCTGAGGTGGGAGGACTGCCTGAGCCCAGGATGTTGAGGTTGCAGTGAGCCGAGATCGCACCACTGCAGTCCAGCCTGGGTGACAGAGCAAGATCCTGTCTCAAAAAAAAAAAAAAAAAAAAAAAAGAAAGAAAGAAAGAAAAAAAATGTAAAGATTTTAAGGATTTTTTTTTTTCTAATCACTGGTATCTAATTTCAGAACCTCACAAAGTATTAAATAGAAATGTGCATCAATAGGTGAATGAATAAAAAATGCATATACTGGAGCAAACTACCAATATACTGAACAACACGGATGAATCTCAAAAATCTTCATTTTGAGGGAATGAAGCCAGACATACCTACTATGATTCCATTCATGCAGAATGTAACTATAGTGAAAAAGAACAGATTAGTAGTTGTCTGGGGCCAGAGCAGAAAGCGGAATGGACTGCAAAGTGGGGAGAGGAACCTTTGGGGATGATACAAACATTCTGTATCTTGATTATAACGGAGCTTCATGGGTATGTGTAAATGTCAAAACTCATCAAATAAATAGCAATTGCATTCTAATTCTTCACTGTAATTCTCTAATTCTTTTAGTGTTTTAAAATTAGCATTAAGCTCTGGCTCGTATTTATTTTCACTTCAGTCTTCAAGTCTCAAAAGTAGTCTATCATGAGGTCGCCTGTCATTAGAAAAACTGGATACTACTCTGTACTCTTGAGTTATCAACTACTGAATAAGTTCTTTTTAGTTCCTAATTCACAATAAGCACATAAAATTCTTTATGTGCAAATTATCACACACATTATTTATATAAGTACTACTGTACTTACATGTAAAATCAACTTTTGAGGACACTATTACTTTTTAAAATTCCGAATGTCTCTAATCCCTCTAAATCCAACATCAAATGATATATAAACAGCAAAAAGATCATTATATTCAATTAGAGGGATTTAATGTTTCCCTCTTCCTCTCTCAAAGCATTCTTTCAGAGAAGGAAACAATTACCATAAGCAGATAGAAAAATATCTCGATGGATTACTCTGTTCTATTGAATCTACCATAAGAGAAATGCAAAAAGGAAATTCAGATTAAAGCAATTACCCTTTCCTGAAATAATCATGGTGCAACAAGGAATTGCTAGAGAGGTAAGAAGATTGTGTAATTTAGAACACTATAGTTAATCTTTCATTTATTTATTTTTTTTTGAGACAGAGTCTTCGCTCTGCTGCCCAGGCTGGAATGTAGTGGCCCGATCTCAGTTCACTGCAAGCTCCACCTCCCGGGTTCACGCCATTCTCCTGCCTCAGCCTCCCAAGAAGCTGGGACTACAGGTGCCCACCACCACGCCCGGCTAATTTTTTTGTATTTTTTAGTAGACAGAGGGTTTCACCGTGTTAGCCAGGATGGTCTCGATCTCCTGACCTTGTGATTCACCTGCGTTGGCCTCCCAAAGTGCTGGGATTACAGGCGTGAGCCATCACGCCCAGATGTCTTTTTTTTTTAAGATGGAGTTTCGCTCTTCGTTGCCCAGGTTGGAGTGCAGTGGCGTGATCTCGGCTCACTGCAACCTCCACCTCCTGGGTTCAAGCGATTCTCCTGTCTCAGCCTCCGGAGTAACTGGGAGGCATCCGCCACCACGCCTGGCTAATTTTTGTATTTTTAGTAGACTTGAGGTTTCACCATGTTGGCCAGGATGGTCTCGAACTCCTGACCTCGGGTGATCCACCCGCCTCGGCCTCCCAAAGTGCTGGGATTACAGGCCTGAGCCACTGCTCCTGGCCTCACTATAATTATTCTATTTGCGTTTGAAGAAATATAAAAATTCTTAAAAACAGCCTCTGTTTAGAAGAATAAAAATAAAGAACCTAAGATAGTGTTCTTCAAATGGACTCTGGGTAATATTCCTGGGTAGCCTGCTTCTATGTGAGTTTATAATTTTGTTTTTAGAAAATAACAGCCAAATGACAACATGCTATAGAAATGAAGGCTGGTACTATTAATAGACAAAAATAGTGAAAAGACTGAGCTGTCCTTCTATACACCACAGTACAGGTATGTTAAATTCTAAAGAACCTTGGTCCAGATGTGATAATGACATGCCTGTAATCCCCGTATTTTGGGAGGCCAAGGCAGGTAGAGCACTTGAGTTCAGGAGTTTGAGACCAGCATGGGTAACATGGCAAGACCCAGTGTCTCAGTCAAAAAATATAAAAAATTAGTCCAGTGTGGTGCCATGCGCCTGTGGCACACGCCTGTAACATTATACTAAAACTAAGTAAACTCTAGCAGAACTTGAGATTTTTTTCCAGCGACTCAGGAGGCTGAGGCACAAGAATCGCTTGAGCCAGTAGAGGTGTAGGTTGCAGTGAGCTGAGATCGCGCCACTGCGATCTGATGTTCTATATAAGGATCCCATCTTTGTTTCCACCAACATCCATCAACTGTTCATGATTAGTAGGAAAAGTAATAATTGCAAAATAATTTCTTCTTTATGTAGTATTTTAAAGAATTTCTCAGCAAGCTATTTTGGGGTTTGGATCAGTGGTTTGAAAATTTCTGTGCAAAGAAAGGAATAACAACTACAAATTGTTTTCACTGTGATAATAAATACAAATCAAACGATGGTTCATTATACTTGAAATTAAAAAAAAAAAAAAAAATCAGGCCAGGCGCGGTGGCTCACGCCTGTAATCCCAGCACTTTGGGAGGCCGAGGTGGGTGGATCACGAGGTCAGGAGACGGAGACCATCCTGGCTAACACGGTGAAACCCTGTCTCTACTAAAAATACAAAAAATTAGCCAGGCTTGGTGACAGGTGCCTGTAGTCCCAGCTATTCAGGAGGCTGAAGCAGGAGAATGGCGTGAACCTAGGAGGCAGAGCTTGCAGTGAGTCGAGATTGCACCACTGCACTCCAGATTGGGCAACAGAGCGAGACTCTGTCTCAAAAAAAAAAATTCAAACTGACGTATCTGTACAAGCACTACAGATATAAGGAGTTAGCTAGGAGCAGTGACTCACGCCTATAATCCCAGCCAGCACTTTGGGAGGCAAGGCCAGGTGGATCACTTGAGCCCAGGAGTTGGAGACCAGACTAGGGAACACAGAGAAACCCTGTCTCTATAAATAAATAAAATAAACAAAATTAGTCTGGACATGGTGGCATGCACCTGTAGTCCCTGCTACTCAGGAGGCTGAGATGAGAGGATTGCTTGAGCCTTGGAAACAGAGGTTGCAGTGAGCTATGATCGCACCACTGCACTCCACCCTAGGTGATGGACCGAGACTCAGTCTCAAATTAAAAAAAAAAAAAAAAGTATAAGGAGTTTATA